TGAGCTCAAATAGAACGCCCAGCCTACGCTTCTGTAACGAGCGGTTCCCGAAGTAGTGCGCTTCGGGTGTAGGAAAGGACTGCAAGGGAATGGGAATTTGGCTGTTCGAGGGCTTCCAAAAACTGACGTGGAAGCCACCCCGTTGTTAGACACGTTAGAGGGGTATCTGAGCTTATGAAAGGGATCCTCTGCCTGCTGCGTGGCAAGCCCTTACGATCTTACCTTCGCAAATATTGGGTTATCTACAGAACTGTCCGAAATTTACCTTTCAAGTGTTGGGGCCCCTTTGACCTTTGAAGCAGCAGCACCTTACCGTACTTGTGAACAGAAGAGCCCCGCTATGGATACGTAGAACCCCAACCATACTTCGCAGTTTTCGTGTAGGACTATAGTCTTTCGGCTTTTGGCTCATAGAGGGATCCCAAAAGATTCAGTGTTTTTGCAAGCTTCTGATGGCAAGCCTAAAGCCAAGGAAATTATTGGAAGTTGAAGGGCTGGGGTATCGAATTCTCTGTCTTAGCCACCGCTGACGGCTCCCCGAATTCCGGCTTATACTTGTGCATAGGTCGAGAATCCGGTATTCAATGCAGCGCCCCGAAATCGCATTGTAATCCAAAACCCTAAACCTTCTGGGTGCCTGAGGGCAGTTCGATTTGCAGAACCCGCCAACCTTGCTTGAAACCAAATCGAGCTCACTAATTTGTTGGGCTTATACGGGAATATTCGTAGGGTTGAGTAGGCCATGCATGTTTTCATACATATATAGATCATATGTAGTCATGTGTAGATATATGTTCATATGCGTATATGAGCAACAAAAAATCGATGTTGTTAATTCAATGTTGGTTGGTTGAGAGGCCCCAATGCCCAAGACCCTAGACCCATCCAAGGTAGGTCAGCGCTCTAACAGCTTGAATTAACGATCATAGAACCCATAACCCCCCCGGATTTGAGTTTAGGAGGTCTAGGATTCAAGTTGCACCCTCTCAAAAATGCCAACTCACCTAGCCGGGGGCTTGTATAGAGGTCTGATCTTCCCTTTGTGAAGACAGATGTATACGAATATCAGTCCTATGGACAAACTCACGCGATCTGGATCCAAGACTACTACTTACTTTGCGGCGATGATTGGCCTTATACATAGTACCTACTTCAGGCACTTTGGATTCATGCAGTCCTGAAAAACCCAAGTCACCAACTCTGGGGGCCGCGTTTGATGTGGCTGGCGCGTCTGCCTGGATCTTGCATTCGGAGCCGTGCTGAGTAAATTTAGGTGCAGTGCCTTTGAGAAGTTTTTGCACAGGGGGCTCTGCGGGTTGCTTTGTGAATTGGGGTTTATAAGGTTCAGAGCTTGAGGGTCGAAGGTAGAAGATTCGATTGCTTCTTAGGTTGGTCGTTCTGAGAGGAAGCTGTCTGTATGTGGAGATCGGGATCATCCGAGAAACAGGCACATCCTCCAGTAAGCAACCCGGAGCTTCACAAAGCCAATTTGCTAAACGCACGGTTTTTTTGAGGATCTGGCGGAAGCGTGTCAAGTGCTTTGCAGTGCGACGTGAGATCCACTTCGGTCAGCTCTGTCTCTTTCTTGGAGTAGAGTGCAGGAGGGAGAAAGGATGAGCATGGACTGCTTGCTAGAGGTTTCTGTTGCCTCTCTATACTTCGTGCCGCCCTATCCGCGGCGTCAGGTAATCCCAGAGCATGTTGTACAAGATCGACAAGTAGCCGGACCAGCTTATTTTCTGTTGTACCATAACGAACCATATAGTCAGCAACAGGCAGAATGGGAGCAGCGACAGTAAGAATTGCGCAGCGAACATGTGCACATGCCTTGGTGTCCAGTTTGGTAATAGGCAAGTTTTTAGGAATTCAGTTTCTGTGCAACTGGACGCCCGAAACTCCATACAACATACCTGATTTGTGATCTGTGGGCTGTGCCAACCCTTCAACCCTAAACCTTAAACCCTCATTGAGCCCTAAGCTCTGCATCCCAAACCTCAAGAGGCCAGCCCTGCACGATCAACACAGACACTCCAAACCAAGGACCTATAAGTAAGCCCAACTCAAAGCGTTTAAATATGCAAGGATAATGCCGGATGAGGGTTTGGCTTGGCTTGGAGGGTGTCAGGCATACACTTCCCCCAGGCCCTTCCTACTGGTACTGTAACCAAGGCCCCCATCGGCCCCTGTACCCCGGAGCCTCTAACCCTACCTGGAACCCCAAGCCCTAAAACCCTGAAACCTAAAACCCTGAACCCTGAAGCCCTGAACGCTGAAGCCCTGAAACTCTGCAGCCCTAAATCCTAAAGCCCTCACAAACCTGATGCCCTACAACCTCACAGCTTCCGCTAACTTTCGCAGGTGGTGGCGGCGAAGCTCACGTCGCTGTATTGGGCGGCTCTGAGCCTGGCGAGTACCGGGGAAGCACAGCACCAAGTGTTGGGGCTTGAAATCCACCCTAAACCCTACAAACCCTAACCCCTAGACCCAAATTCTGAACCCTAAGGTGTAAACACAAAATTCTAGCACAGGTTATCATTTTAATGATATGGGTCTGCAAGAGTTGCGAATCTTCCTGCATGTGCTTTGCATAGCCACCGAATGCCATGCTCTTTATTCTGTTCTTTTCATCGGCTTGCCGCTGACGACATTCGACAGAGGCACAGGCAACTGCGATTTGGTGTCAAGGTTGCGCCTTTGTGTAGGCCAGGGGCGGTTTGGGCTTTCAGGCTTTGCTTGGAGTTGGAGATGTGGGAGGTGCAGTTAACCCTGCTTCCTGAGCCCGAGATATTGAAGGTTTGGTGTTCAGCGTTTGGGGTTGAGAGCTGATGGTGCACGTGCTCCGATTTGGAGTTTGCTAGGTCTAGAAAGTCATGGAAGATACAATGAATGAAGGCCTTGTCAGGCAGTCTTTTTTGCTTCTGAAGGTGCAACATGTAAACAAGCATATTAGGAGCATTGAGACAAATCCCGGATGGTTTTTGTTTTCTCGTAAATCACAGGCGTTTGTTGTGCAATTTGTTCTTGGGGCGCCAAATGCTAAGCCCCTGGCGAGAGTTCTTCCGCACTATTCGGGCAAAGGTTGATCCAGGATGAACCCAAAACCCTCTACCTTAAGCCTTGTACCCTAAACCCTAAGCCCACAGCCTCATAAACCACTCGTGCCTTTCTGAACACTTCCCTCCGCCCAGCGAACATAGACCGGTAAGCCTCACAGTCTGCAAGCAGCCCAGGATTGGTCGCCACCTTGGTCACACCCTACGTGACTCTTGTCTTTCATGACTTGGATAGGGCCCGCACTCAGCAACACTTGGAGAGTGAATGTCTAATCATTATGTACAGGCATAGTAAAGCCCTTTAGACGACGCCGGTTCTAGACAGTTGCGCAGTAAACCGTCATAATCCACGATGACTGCTGGGAGCTATGGACCCTAAATTTCAGACCTCTGGCTCTTGGGGCTTCAAGCCCAATGCAGCCTTGATGCTGTCGAATTCTTCCTCCAAACCCCGCAGTGTGGCCCGGCATAAGCACTGCCTACATAGCAGCGAAAGAATGTACGTTTGTCACTTCCATGCTCCGAGGCTGAACAGTCCAGTCTGTATTGCCAAAACCCGCTTGTAGGCGATGTTCCTGCTGGCATTTGGCATCATTCTCGCCGATATGGTCATCACTCATACAATGTACGGAGGAAATCTCGCTCCGCTGAGAGTTTAGGCTAAGAGTGTAGCTGTGTACCAGGTTTGTGTGAGACTGCCTACAACAAGCCGGTAACATGGTGAAGGGTTGGCTTTATGACTGCACACGTGGAGATCGCCACCACGTGCAGCGGTGCTCTTTTTCTTGTTAGCACGGCCTTCCTCCATTAGCTTCATTTCATCCTTGGATTTCCTGCCTGCAACCAATCTTACTCTCATCATCCGGCTCGGTGCAGCGTGGTCTCTTGCGTTCATGAAGCCATGAGCACTGGGTCATCAAACCCTACTAAGCCCTAGACCCCATGAACCAGTAGAGCGTGGATCTAAACCTGGCATGACCCAAGGAACCACTACCGTGGCTGGGTTGCAAGGGGTGTCCTGCATCTACACAGCCGAGAACAGGCGTTAGCCCGGCAGGCCCACTGAAGTGGCTAGATGGTCGGAGCTCTCTTCCAAACATCCCCAAATTCACCAGATAAAAGCCCTCAGCACCTCCTTTTGAACTTTGAGCCCTTTGGCTTCGGACTTTGGGATGCAGTTTTGCCCTGGTGCTGCGTAGGGAAATCAGGAATGGACTGCACGGAACTGTCTGCATCTCATTCTCTACAAAGCACCAGGTAGATGATTTCCTCCCTAGACCTCAACCCCAGGCGTAGAACGGATGACGTTGATGTCAAAATGCAAGCAGATTGACCTTGAGGGTTTACGGTATGGGCTTCAGGGTGAAGAGCTTAGGGAACGTGGTTGAGCATTGAGGAGGGTGATAACGGTAGTTGTCAAAGGGCTTTGAAACACGTGGACCCTTGGGGACTTTGTCCGAAGCCTTTGCACCTGGCACAAAATGCCACGGTAATATTGCGCCCTTTATGCTTTGAACGTCGTGGCTGCGCATGCAGTCTCCTCACAGTTGCCGGACATCTGGGGCCCAGGGCCATGTATCCATGCCTGAATTGTAACCATGCGTTTGTACAGAGTGTGGGCAGCACTGCGGTGGCACACGGAAGTTGCTGGCTACGGCAGCATTGTGGTAAGAATTCTTGCGTCCACCGATGACGTCATGCAGATGCTGGCCTTGCAGAGGTTGCATCATTGCGAGTTAGCTCCGGACGTGGCTTCGCACATGGCTTTCAAGCCCATGAAACAGTAGACCTTCTCATGCGTTCAGCAGAATCTGCTAGGAAACCCCAACCGTCAAAACAGAAGTTGGCGGACCCCAAACTCACCAAACCTACAACCTTCAATTTCAAAACCTTTTCTTCTGTAGACTCCCAGCCCCAAGCCTCAAAGGCTATATCCAGTTGCATCTGATGGGCGCGTTTATCTCCATGACTGCCTTCGCACAGAGTTCCTTTCATGCTATGGTTCAGGACTTGGGATAGGGGGTGTGAGTTTGGGGCTTAGGAATAAGGAATTGGGGATCAGAGTTGGATGTGCAAGGCCCAGGTTTGCGGGAATAGTTGTTCAGGGAAATGCAGGTCACGCAAGGATGACATGGCGTAGCAGGCGGATTCTAGAGGAAGTGTGCGCAGAAGATACAAAGAGCATGTGCCAAGGCTTCTCTGGTTGGAGATCGTCTTGCAATATGTTTACGTGCATCGTTTTTTTTGGGGGGGCTCCGTCCCAGAACTTCCAACATCTTTTTATTTCCAAAAAGTTCATACAGTTGTAGTTAATTAGAGCATGGCCGTGTGTCTGTTTATGAATATGTTTCGCGTACGCGAGTTCGAAAGCTCCCTTACCTCTCAACCTGAAACCCTGAACACTAAACTGGGCTTCAAGAGCCTTATACCCTTAAACCACTTTCAACCCCTGAACCTTGACCCGGTTTGTGTAGGGCTTGAGCGGCTAAGGTTCATGGCGCCCAACCATTGGTCTTTCTGGCGAAGTGGCTGGGTAACGGAAGGGTTAGATCTGGGGATAGGGTAAAACTATAGGGAGTGTAGAGTTTCAGGATGAATGGTTCATTGTCTTAGGCCTTGTCCAGGTCCACACCAATATAGGGTTCTTGTTCAAAGTGCACACGTTCACCAGAGCATGGTCCAAACCAAAAGAGCGTTCGAGTTCCACGAGAGTGCTTGATGTATTTTTGTTGCATGCGGCTTGCCTGCGACGAGTCTTTCTGCTGGACAAGAGCTTTGGGGGATGCACTGTTTGAAGTGCCCCGGTCCAAGAGCTGCGTGCTGCTCTCGTGACCATGTTTGGCTGGAACACCAGAAAAATGTGGTTTGGGTTGCTCCGAGCCAGACGCGCTTGAAGCGCGCTCAGGCTCCTGAAAATTCTTTGGCAAACTGGCCCCCCAACAAACATGGAAAATCTGAGAATTAACATCTGGAAAACTGAAAAAATCCTAAAATCCGGACCTCGGCTCCCTGTGATCTGACCACTGCCCCCCCCCCATCGAGCGCTTTCTCGTCCCATACCCGCTCATTCCAGAACCTCGTAAATAGCGACATACAGCGATCTATAGAGTATGGAGCAATCTACAGGGTATGGAGCAACCCTTTCGTTCCATAAACCAACAGCCGGGTTTTGGGACACCGCCATATCGTAGGTAGGCAAATTATGGTCGTTTCTGAGTCCACGTAATTTTTAGGGAATCGAAAAAGGGACCATAATTTTGACAACCCCCATATGCTCTACGTTTAGAAGTATGCATGGGCCCTTACACCTTTGAGCGGAATTTTAGGGACCCGAACGGGTACATACAGGGTATATAGTTAGGTATATTAGCATCCCAGGCTGACGGGCCCATACTAGGGCCCATGGTTTCAACCTTAGATATGCTCGTCGCATGTAATCCTTGCAGGTCAAGTAGGATGCCCACGCCCACCCATCAATGATCTCGAAGCCGAAGCCTTGATCCCCGGCCCTATGCCTCAATGTAGGGGCCTGAAATACATAGATTGGGTCTAGGGATATGTTGTACTATAGCTATTGTTGGGGTATATTGTGCTGTGACTATGGTTGGGGGATATATTCTAATACGTTCCCTCAACACAGTATAAACCACTGTGCACTTGTTTTTCATTTGCTTTCTCATTCCTGAGTGTGTGTTTTCAGGTTTCCCCACTCATCTCTGTTATATGCCTCCATTCTTATCAAGGAAGAGGGACCCTAAAACTAGCGTAGGCCTAAGGCCTTCAACCCAACACCCTAAGCCCCAGGGCCCTAAACCCCAAATAGCAGTTTTAATTTTGTGGCTCATTCTTCCAGTGTATTCCCTAACCCCATCCATCCTGAGGTGGTCATTTGCACATTCCTTTACGGATTCTCTCTTGGCCCCCTCTTCCCGGGTGCGCTGCTGGTGGCAGAGGAGTCAGAGTGTACAGCTTACACAGGTTTGGGGGCTTTGGTTTCGTGATTTTGGGTTTGGGGTTTAATTACGGTTTTCGATAATACATGTAGTAGGTACACTGCAGACCCCACGAGGGAGTAAGATTACATCTTCCTTTCCCCTATAGAATGTTATAAAAAGAGGAAAATCTTATTTGCTTCAACCGCCAAATCGCACACCCCTCATACATGCGGGGGTTTCCATGCATAGATGGGGTGGGGCCAATATCATTAGACGCCAGTATACCATAATCCTTTTTCAGGGGACTCCCAAGGCGGGTCCCCTTGAGTACAGACAACTTCCACCTCTAGACTGGTACAGACATTTATTGTTATAGCAGTTATAGCACAAAGACATACCTTTTGCTTCTACTTCCGGCTTCCCAGGGATGTTTCCTAAGAGGAGCTCTGGATGTCACAAGCCCTGATGACATCACAGGAGAAGCTCCACCCAGAGCCCCTGAGCGGTCGCTCCGCAGGCGATGAACAGTCCGGTATCAAGCCCTGACTCATAGTCTCCCTTAATATGGAGATCTTGTACGATATTGGGCAAGTCCATATTCTATCTAATTCTCGTGCCCCCCCGAACAATAGGGCCCCCAGAAAACCAAGAAGGAGGCAACCTCAATAGGGCACTCACGGTACTCAGGGCGCTGGGATTACTTTGAAGAGGATGGTCTGAATTTTTCTTTAGGCCCCAGAGCCGAAACACATTAATCAAGGTCTCTTCGCTACAAGCAGTGCAACAGTAGGGGGGACTACAGGACGTTGCTGTGAAGTCTGCGGTTGCCAAGGTTGTGGAGGGTTACATGGGTATGATCGCCCGTGTATGTATAATTCCTGCATGGAAAAAAGTTTAGCGTATTGAGGAACGTAGCGTTTGGATTCATGGAACAATATCGAAATCCGGAAGGGTTGAGTCAGGGCCGGAGGGCGTGGAGAAGAAGTGCAGGGTTTGAGGGATTTCCAGAATCTGGGTTAAGCTGTTCGGAGGCTCGAACAGATGAAAGGGTTCAGAACTCAATGGTACCATATGCTCGCATGCAAACCCTTAAATCTCAACACCAGGGGCTATCAAAACAGAAGGACATCAAACTGAACGCTGCCCATATCACAAGAAAAGCGTTGTTAAAGTTGTACGCGCCTGTAACCTAAGCAGGTGTTGCAGGTCATGGCCCGCATTCAGTCTCAAGCTCTCATGCTTAGACAACCCTATAGTCTCACTTAGGTACATAGAAATATTCTATCTACTTCCACCGCCATGCAATGCCAACGTTCCAAGCTGACGACTAGCAAAGCCCTCCGCTCCCCTGCAGCATTGTACTTTAGGCTCCATGCAAGAGCAACTTTCTTTAGACATTCCTTTGCCGCAGCAGGCTTCACCGTGGCATGCGCTGCGCTGGGTGAGCCTTTGCATTGCGCTAAACTTAAGGCGACTCAAACATGGAGCTTCTACCAGTTGGGAGTAAGGTTTACTTGTGTGTCCTGTGCAGGCTTTTTGAGTTGATTAGAGCCCATGCGGGTATGCTTCTGCCAAGTCATCCATTGCTTTTTCCCTGTGTCCAGAGACTGGGTGACCCCTACCGCTTTTCGGAATTAAACTCTTCCGCATGCGCCCTGGAACGTCTTTTTGCAATCCGTATGTGTAGGACACCAAACGCTCAGCATTTTCCATAGTTGTGAGAACTTGATGATCACAAGGTTTGTTCAAGCTCCCATCGTTTGGCCCCTGGTTTGGTAGACCGGTCGACCCTGCAGACCCCAATCTTTTCATCGCATCCACCAGTGACCCAGATATTACCTGCAGTGCTCAACATGGTGCCCCCTAAACCCTATGCACAACAAGCTGCCACAGCCTGAATGCCCAAGGAGATGATCCTACCTCTGCTGACTGGCCTCTGCTTTGACGCTGATGCGACCTCCTTTGCGTTCGTGCAGTCCCCGGGCTCTTAGATGATTCATGGAAGCTTAAACCCTCAAGTGTGTCGCACAGGAATTTCAGAATGAGAGTTGCATTAGGGCTAGGTATATCCCTGAATAATCCCTTGATCCTTCGCGTATCCTCTTTTGCTCTTTTCAGATCGTTGCAAGGGGAGTTTCCAGCTCCCAGATGGGTTTCAATTTTGCTCCCTTAGCAGTAGTTTCTCAAAATGGCCGGCCCTTGGGAACTCGAGGGACCTATGGGGATTGATTCATAGAGCCCTGTGAAGGCTCTCATGTGACCCTGGAATCAATCTACAGAACAAACGCTTCAATCCTGTGAATGCCTTCATCATATTACGCCTCCCTAGGACCATCTATCACTACCTCTGTTGTGATAAATCCCAGATAACTGCCACAGGTGTGTCCTAAGCCTTACCCTGTAGCTCTACGTAAATCCCTGTGCATAGCCTGTCAGTCTCCGACACCGGAAACCCCGCAAGCCCAACCAGAACCACCAGCTGAATCAAAAGCGCAAGATCCCACACGTTCCCTGAATCCCTATATTCCCCCAGCTTCCATTTCATTTTCCATGTTCTTTTCCATTTGATCCTCCATTATTGGGCGGTTTTTTGGGTCTTCTTCAGGCTTAAAACCCTCAGTCATCTCGAACTCTGAAGCACAGGGCCCTGTATTCTAATCTGTGAGCTACAGCATGAAGAGTAGTACGATGTGTGAACCAAGCTTGTACAGCTTTGCGTTAGTGAAGGGTCGCAGGCCATCGGTAAAAATGTGGATGCGGTAGGGTTTAGGGTTCAGGGTTTAGGGTAACCTCTGCTGAAGTTCACCCTATCTAGAACCTGACCCCTGCGTACTCATCTTGGGGACCCAATCTTCCTGCTCTCTTTTCAACTTTGTGTATGTAAGGCAATGCCTGACTCTTCCTCACAAGCCCCTCAAACCCGCACCTCCCAAAGCCTCCTGGGTACTGCCCCCACTTCACAATTGGATAATATCTATACCAAGTTTATATGTATATCTATATAAGAATACGGAGCCCTTAATATCACCCAAAATATCGACTGTGACAGGCAGGGGGTAGTACCCAACTCTTCACCGCGTTGCAGCACGGCCCGAAACCTTCCCGCATCCTACTACAAAGCCTCAGGCTTTAACTGTCCAAGTGCCCAAGTACCATACCCATCGGCTTTCAGTTGTAGATATTTATTTGCCCCAATATTGAACATGAGAAAGCAAATCTAGACCAGACATGAAGTACCCCAGAACCAAACCGAATACATTTTTGGAAGTGTATACCATGATGCGGCTGGAAGGCTGGCGATTTGCTGCGGATCCCTCTTCTTCTTCGCGTCTGTATGATGTTCAAAAAGATGCTGCGCCCGATGTCTTTCTTGAAGGTTTAGTCGTTATTCTCATGATCACGAGTGGGGTTATGCGATGTTTTTCTCAAATCTGAGCTCTGAATGTTGCAGTGCGGTCTAGGGAAGTCATCTGAAAGTGAGGTCATAAGCCTCATAAACTAGGCTCTAATAATAGTTGTCCCACTGGCAAGACCGCTCATCGATTTCGAAGACACACTACATATGTATAGATGTACATAAGGATACACAAAACCATGTTACATAGAAATAGCCCTGAAGTAGATGTTGCATGCATCTCAGGTGGGTCATTACCACATGGGTAGTTTCGTAGTATTCCTACAAGGGCCTCCCATAAAACCCCCCCATGGCAACAGAAGTAGTACAGAAGGCCTATAGGAAGCTGCCCACCAATAAGCTACCCACCTGTGATGGGCTTCTAGAACCATAAAGCAAGACGCGTAAGCACCAATATTAACATGACAGCTTTTAGGTATAGTGGAAATTTAAGAGTTTGATCCCAAGGCAGCTCCTTACGATCGACTCAATGACTCCGAGCACAGCTTCCAAAGGTGGCGCCAAGGCGCTTACGTGCCTAGCATTCCGGATTATGGGGTCCCTTTAAGAAGAGGTTTCACCGGAATACTCGAGGCATGTACAGGGTTTAGGGAGAATGCCGAATAACTGCCCATGATGCAGAGGGGTTATCGGGAGGGTAAGTTGAAAATACATCATCTCCTTGCAATCGCCAATCGAATGATTTAGGTGCATGTAGTCGAGAGTCCAAGAGAAGCCTGCTTTGAGGTTGAAGTCGTGTTGATTTCATCTCCTCAGCCTTCGGAGTCTGGATGTGCGTGCAGAGTTGACGTTTCAAGCTTAACGCTAGATGGCTTGCATTACAAAATTCCGTACTTCCTTCTTGCAAGCTTAGCGTCTCTGATGCCCGAAGCTTTGAAGAGGTTATGGTCTGGTATTTACAATTTATTTTTCGTTTTGGTGAGTGCGTGCAGGATTCCCAGGAGACATTGGTCAGTGTATACATGGGTGTCCATTTGCGTTGACCATCGATGCGAACCATACATTAAGGCCTGGAGTCTTTAGAGCGCCCGAAGATTTGAAATTTAACGCAAGGCCAGAGAAGTCATGTTCGCTGCCATCTTCGCGGAAACATTACCCTGAAGATCTTAGTCAACGAATAAGCCCATACTTCGGTTCCTACACTCTACAGATAGCACCTCCGTTGGGTTGTGTGGATCCCTAGGATCATAGGAATTTCTCGAAATCACAGTCACACGATTTCGGCTTTTGTAGGGTTGTAGGCCTGTATACCCCCGAGATGTTACAGTTCCTATTATCGTGACCCCATGGAAGGAACCCAAGGAATGAAATTAAGTCCAACGCAACTGCCCAGCGGATCACCTTGGGTTGTGGTTTGCTTGTTTGCCATGCCACTTTCTGAAGCTTGGGAATGCGGCAGAGACCCAACACCTTCAACCCTACATCCAGAAGCTCGACGCTTTAACCCCAAGATCCTGAGACCTGCATCCCTGAATTCAACCTTTAAACCGAAATCCCTGAAGCCCAAGTTGCTTCAAAAGCTTGACAGGTTATGCTGACAGGGAAGGGCAACATCCTCCTAAAAAACCCATAGTAGTCCCTATAATTATAATCCCTCATAAACCCCCCTTGACAGGTTATGTTGACAGGAAAGGGCTTTGCGACCAACCCCAAGCGCCACTTCGTTCGCCGAGCCCTGAGCAGGGTTCAGTTCAGGTTTTGTTTTGGGACTGATTATTCAAAAAGGATATACGGATATAAACATATGATGTACATATATATATATATAGATATGTTGACGCAGTGTAGTTAGGGCTCCAGGTTACCTAATGGTAAAGGGAGAAAGTGGGAATATGCAAGCACCATGATTTGAGTCACTTTGTCCTGCTTACAGGCTAGAGGAGGGGGAGACTGTTGTTCCAAGTGTCTGGCTTCTACACATTTATTGGCTCCTGCAGTGGAGGGAGGCAATCTCGCACCAAGTCGCACCTGTTAACATCCCCAATACCATGTAGGGTGTGGGGTGTATATCGTGGTGCAAGATGTCCTCCACCAAGGTAGGTTGGGGTGGTAGACCGCTTTTTCACGACTACCTAGGGGTTGCAATAGGTATCCGAGTGCTTTGGGCTCTTGACGTTGACCACTTAGGCATGCACGGGAGGGATACCGTCGTTGCGTGTACTTGTCAGTTATCAGTAGGGAATGAACGATGATATTATTAAGGAGTGTACATAGTGGTTTCTGTAGGATCCATTCTTCCATGCCCCACTAGCAACCAGCAAGTTTAGAGCTTCTGGGTGCATAGGGTTTGCGCTATCCAGGGCACCCTAGAATCATAGATCCGTTTTGGTCAGGTGTCAGTGTACCACGTAGGACTGAGGTCGCTGTCCTTGTTCCCTTCTGCTGTTGTTCTGCGTGCCGCATGGGAAACCCCAGATAGGGTTTACACCGTAACAACCACGTGTCACAGACAGCCTTACAGAGCCTGTTCGGACTAGCTGTCAGCGCTCCCCAGGAATGAAGTTTTTCAAAGCATATACCCCGAAAGGCCTGAACACGTAGAAGAAAGCCATGGAGCAGTGCTTTTCACCTGTACCATGAGAGGACTTACCAGCACACAGCATGCTCGTGTGGTGGATTGCAATCGTTCTGCGACGTCCCCTCCCCGTAAACATTCAACGCCCGGCTCCCCCGATGGAAAGTTTTGCAGTTGTTTCATGGAAGCAAAATTATTTGGGGGAGCTTCATTCTCATCGCGAAATGAAGCTCAGGTTTGCTCCGAGGAAGCACCGTGGATGTAGGGTTAAGCATTTGCAGTGCTCTCTCGCTTTGATCCCTCTTCATAGCTTGAGCCTGCATGCAGAGCAGAGATGCCTTGCGAGTCACGCTGCTATTCGAATCATGGCCTTGATAACAGTTGTTAGTCATAAGGAGTCTTTTTCTTTGGGGCGCCGTGGCTGTCATTGCCTTGACTCCTGAGATACGGCATCAGATGACGGAACAGCCGCTGTCTAGTCCTTGTCTGGCAGCTTGATCCTAAAGATAACCCGCCAAGCAGCATCCGTAACCTTTAAGGCCCCTTTGTGCGCGGGGCCTGAACCACCTATACCCTGTCAATCCCACATCCTGAGCCCCGCGTTCCGCTGATGCCGAGATCCTAAACTCCAAGTCCTACACCCTCATTCCCCAAACCTTAAGTTGTAGCTTCCATAAAACAGTTGGACCCATGACAGATCCCAAGGTACTATAGTCATCCTTATCAAAGCAACCCTCAACAACAGACCTCTAACTTTGTTGGAACCTCCCCCTAAAGCCCCTAACCTCGTACGACCCAAAAGCACGACCAAGGCTTTGATAGCGAGACTTGGCGTTTGTGCGAGCCCTTGGAGTCCAGCTACACCTCACTCACCTGCCTGGTGCTTAGCAGTGGTCCAAGAAGGTTTAATAAGGACAGGACTTAGGGTTCCAGGTGGAAGCAGGGTTAGGTAGGGTTCATGGAGTTTGGGCTTTGAGATTGGGGTTGGGCTTCGGGTTTTGAGATTAGGGCACAGTGCTGAGGGTGTGAGGATTTGGGGCGCAGCAGGGTATGCCTCGAGCCTGCAGTTTCAGTGTTCGAGTTTAAGTTTAAGGTGTAACCTTTCAAGATTTAACGCTGTAGGATTCAGGGATTGGGTTTGTAAGAGTATGTCTGAACAGTACGGCCTCTTTACTCATAACCCAGAGCCTTGACTTTCCATTTTCAGCGCACAGAAAGGGACCCACATGAGAAGCTGAGCGTAGGTCTTAAGGCAAAGAGGGCAGAGAAGACCTTCAAAAACCCTTGACTCTAGTTTGCAACTTCAAGAACATTCCCGACATATGGATGCTCAGTGCTGGGCAAGCTTAAGGGCAGCAAGTGTCATGTTCATAACCGAGGCATATTTAGCATTTGGATCTATAGGGACTAGGGTAGCTCAGTTCTGGATTTGGCGCTTCAGGTAGTGTATCCCACTCGTGTTCTTCACCCCCAGCACTTCCCACTCGATCTTGGGGTTTCGGTCTAGGCTTTCTGCTACCTAGAATGGCAAGGTGATCAGGTTTTGCCTTGAACAGAGTACTATCCTGTAAACGGGACGACGTGGACCAAACCGTTACATCCAAACCTTCTTAGACCTAAGCCCGAAAGTCCTAAATTGTTTTTAGAAGAACAGAGACACCATCCGGACCAGTGACTGTCTTCTAGAGGATTTTCAAAGTCATGTAGCTTCTCTGCATGGACATGAGGGTCCAGATCTAGCTGAAATAGCTCAGAACCAAGTGTCTGCATTTTTGTGGTGCTACATGTAGTTCAAGCCTTTGGGGCAGCATTTCATCATCAGGTGCTTGGATCCTCCGGGCAAGGGGTGAACGAAGGGTTGACAGGGAAATTGATTGCTCTTGCAGACCCAGGCATGATGAACTACTTCAATCGCAATGAGGACGAAGGGAACAAGCAAGGGAAAGGTTTCAGAGTTTCAGCTTCAGGGCTTAAACAGAATTTCTTAACCCTCAGCACTAGTCCCTTTTTAAACCCCCACGGCCAACTCTTTCAATTGAAAAGGTAGTCCCTTGTGGCGATCATTCGGACCCATGGGCGGGATACAGACTTTTGGGTATGCACCTTCTGAGGGCCAACGCATTTGAGTTGGTTTAAGGACTGTGTAGGGTTTAGGGCCCACGGCCGCGTATTTGATATTCCAAATTCCCCTTGCTCCGGTCTTGCAAGTGCTTCAATGCGAGGCTCCGCGGGGTTTTTGCGCACAGGAGCTTTGAGTTTCTGGGCTCCGTGAAGGAGCTGGCAACTGGAGACCATCAACTTCAAGACTGTAAGCTTGAATCTAAAGCCCTAAAGCCGCTGCACCTGAAAAAATGCCGCACAAGACACCTGTAAACGTCAGGGAATTCCAAGCTTCTATCTCTAGAGCC